GGCACACACCTATCAGATCATCTCCCTGTGTGGAGAGATGTCAGATAGCTGGCATCCTCATTGTTACACGAGTTATTAATAAACTTCCTCACAATGGCAGGAAGAGCTAGCATCCAGAGAATGAGAATGTGGGAATAGTTGAGTAATGAATGTGGGTTGATTTCAGGCACTACGAAGGCCTGTCCTCAGTACAACATGTTTTCTCCCAGAGCGGAAAGGGTCAGAGCCAGGGTATAATACCAGATAGCAGATTTTGTTTTATTTTTATCTTTTGAAATTATTATTATTATTTTTTTGAGAGTTTTTTGCTATAGGGCATGTGCGCTCACCAGACAGACAGAGAGAGACAGAGAGATAGAAAGCGAGAAATCACCCCCCAGGGGGGATGGCCACGCTGCAATCCCTTCTCCTCCATTCTCCTCTTGGGATCTTGGGCACACATGCACACGCGCCTGGCGTGAGTTTTAAGCCACCAGGTCTGGGACGCAAACCGCAGTCGACTACGTGGGAGTCCAGTGATATAGCCATTATGCTAACTGCTGGTCCCTTAAATTATTTTTAAAATTTTGCAGAAGGCGCATATGTTCACCAGAGAGAGAAAGAGAGAGAGAGAGAGAGAGAGAGAGAGAGAGAGAGAGAAAGCACTCCTCATGGAGGAGGAGGCAATCCCTTAGCCTCCTTTTTTCCCTCCTTTCAGGATTTTGGGCATGCATGCACACACGCCTGGCATGTTTTTCAAGCTGGCAGGTCTGGGACTTGAACTGCTCAGTCAGCCATGTGCGATCCAGTGCAATGCCACAGGCCGACCCTATTTTAATTTTTTTAAACCAAAGATCCACTACTATATTCTTCACAGTCCTGTTGATCACACGGTAGATGACTCAACTGCCACCCCCCTTAATGAGCCAAATTCCTATTTCTAAACACTAATGCACTTTTGTTTTAGAAGCCAGCAGTGGTCTCATCGTCCCATTTGAGAAAGGACATTTCTTGTTTGGGTGATGAATGCAACAAGCCACATGGTCCTGTAGAGCACTGGGCATTTCCCAAGTGGGTTGGTGCCATTTCTTTAAATAGCTTGAGAGCAAAACATGCTCCCTCTGCCCCTAACTCCCACTGAAATCAGTATTGTTCTGGGATGGCAGCTCCCTGAAACAATGCTTAGAACAAATGCTGACTCTCTCCCACTTTCAGGCAAGCTGTGAAAAGACCATGTGTCTACAGTGACAAGCACAGCTGCTGTTGTTTTTTGTTATTCCCCTTTTTCTTTCTCATTTTTTTGGGGACTTCACATTATGGGGGAAAGGAAGGGAAGATTAAACTCTGTGATATGTCCATGAAGAAGATTTTGGATCTTTTTTTCTTTGCTTTTTAAACTCCGGGAATATTTTAATCAAATAGCCTGAATGTACACTTTTCCTCTCAAACTGTACCTGAACCTTCTAAAAGCTTGTTATACCAGAAGCAGATATGAGCAAATGCAATGAGTAGAGGACTCTACAAATTTGGAAAATATCCAGGCTCCTACAGGACAGAGTGAATACAATGGCCGCTGCTCATGCCCCCTCAGTGCTCAATAGTGGGTTTATTGAGTCCCTATACAAATCACCCTGAAATCCCCCCAAAAATATGAGAAAGGAAAAAAAGGGGAATAACAAAAAGCAACAGCTGTACTTGTCAAGATGTACTGCAGTAGGCGTCCAATGCCAGTATGAGAAAAGGGGACAGGGCAATTTGAGGCCAATCACTGGTGGAAGGGCATATCAGAGCCCTTAGCAAGGCCCAAGATGCCACACACTCTGGGAATATAGAGGATTCTTTTATTATTATTTTTTAAAAAGTTTTTGCTATAGGGCATGTGCATTTGCCAGAGAGAGAAATAGAGAGAAAGAGAGAGAGAGAAAGTGAGAAATCACCCCTCAGGGGGGATGGCCACACCGCAATCTCTGCTCCTTTACTCTCCTCTTATGGTTTGGGCATATGCACAATGTGCTTAGTGTGATTCTCAAGCTGCTGGGTCCAGTCTAGAACCACACAGTCGGCCATGTGGGATCCAGCAGCTTTAACCACCATGCTACCTGGCTTGGTCTTTGTGTGTGAAATTTTGTTTCTTTTTTTTTTTTCTTGGAGAGGTTTTTGCTATAGGGTGCATGTGTGTGCTTGCCAGAAAGAGAGAGACAGAGAGACACAAAACAAGAAATTACCCCCCAGGGGGATGGCAATCCCTTCTCCTCCATTCTCCTCAGGATCTTGGGCACGCACGCATGCATGCCTGGTGTGAGTTTAAGCCACTGGCTCCGGGACTCTAACCGCAGTTGACTACATGGGAGTCCAGCGACATAGCCATTACACTAATTGCTGGTCCCCTGTGTGTGACATTTTCTACTTGTATTGTCATGCTGGTACTCAAACAGGTTTGAATTTTGGAGCATTTCCAATTTTGGATTAGAGGTCCTCAACCTGTATCATATTTGCTAATGAAAGTAAGCCTATGAGGTCTGGCAAGTGTAACAAGAACTGTCTAAAATCAGGGTCATTCTGTAATAGCAGGCAGTGGTGTCCTTGGACATCACTGGCAGGAGGACAGGCAGAAAAGGGTGGGAGACCAGCCAGCTGCCTGTTGGTTTCCCCACTGTGGGGGATGTGAAATCTGCCCCTTCCGGATGGGGCTACAGAGGGCTTTTCCAGGTGAAGGCCTCCTCCTTTCAGTGCACGGGAAGATAGAGGGAAGGCAGTCAACAGTACCAGCAGCAGTGAGGCCAAGATCTATGGATCCTAGGAATTCCCTTTGCTCACCAATGGAATGTTTTCTGTCTGCTGGCACCTCTCCCCCAATTGTCCCAACAACTCCTAAGTCACTGGGGGTGCAAGAGCCTCAAGGGTCTCAACCTTGGCATTAAAGGACATTTTTAGCCTCACTTTGCAGTTCCTTTTTGCTTAGCTGTGCAGCAAGTGGGCCAGGACACAGGCTCAAGAGTGGGGATCCCTGGGTTCTGTGTTGCTGAGGAGCAACACACCCATCTCAAGCTTTTTATCTCTTCTTTGGCAAGAAGAGTGGCTCTCAAAGTAGAGTGCCTAGACCAGCAGCATCAGCAGCACTGGGAACTTGTTCAAGAGGCAAACTCTCAGGCTCATCCTCCACCTACAGGATCAGAAACTCTGGAATGGTTTAGAGTGTGGGACGCCCAGCAATCTGCATTGTAACAGGCCTTCCAAGTGGTTCTGATGTACACCTGAGTTTGAGAACCACTGAGCTTGAAGAACCAGGCTGTAGTCGGGCTGAATCCCCCCCGACTAGATAAGGTGGAAGACGGGCTGATAGATCCTGACTCTAATCAGAGACTCTGGGTTTTAACAGGGGTGAGTAAAATCCATGACTATTATGTGCTATGTCTAAAAGATGAACAAGGTGTTGGCTTTGGCTCTGCTCTTTGCATTCAGCTTTAGCTACAATTCCAGGGAGGGGGTCTTAGGCTTTGAACACATTCTCTTTGATATAAGAAGACAACATTCTCTACAGTCTTCAGCTGCAAACTTCCAAGCCCATTTTTTTGGATGAAACATTTTTGAAGAATCCAAGGCAGGGAGGGATTTCCGGGTGATCTGGCAGAGGCAGATCTGAGTTTAGTGGGGCCTGAAGCTTTTATCATTTCAACAGCTCTATTGAAGACAAACAAAACGAAATACCCAACACTCACAGGTTTACAAAAATGCATGACCATGTGAACAGGACCCTGCTAGAGCCTCAGCCCATCCTCTCAAGGACCCTGAGCTTAACCTTAAGTTCACCCCTCCGTTCACTCCGTTCTACCCTCTTAGTCCAGGAAGGGTGAACTTCCTCTCCCTTAGTCCTTCAGCTGCAAACTTTTTCCTGGCTATGATTGGCCATGGCAGCCCAGACGCTAGCCAGAGAATTTCTAGCTTCTCTTCCTCTCCTATCTTTTTTTTTTTTTAAATAAGTATTTTATTTTATTTATTTAAGTTTGACCAGAGAGGAAGAGAGGGAGAGGGAGAAAGTACGAAAGCAAGCCGATAGGTCCGGGACTTGAACCGTGGTCAGCCATGAGGGAGTCTAGCGCCCTTAACCACCATGCCACCTGCTGGTCCCCCTCTCCTGTCTTTTTCTTTTTTCTTTGTTGTTGTGGTTTGTAGTCACTCTGTAGAGTCATGTAGATCTAACTCTTGAAGATGAGGAAGGAGTAAAGCCTTCTGCTCTATTTTCCTGGCTCAGTGGCAAGATGGCATGACTTTCCAAATCAACCAGGCTTTTGCCGTGGGCCCTGGGGAGTAACCTTCATCAGCTATATCATTCCAACATTTCCAAACAATTGCTGCCTCCCTGCCTTCCTGTCGTCTTATACCCGCTCCTCTTCCTGTCATTTCCGAGAATGGTATCCCCACTCTTGAAAGTCAGCCAGATCTGAAACCTCGAAGTGCTCTGCCCTTCTAGTATCTAATGATAAAGTGACTCGCTGAGGGCTCACAGAAACAGATGGCCAAACCAGATCTTCTGGCTAGCAGTTTCAAAAGGCGCTTAGTCATTAAATCACACCCTGTGACAACCAGTCTCTCCTCTGCTACACGATCCAGAATATTCTATACTTCTCAAAGTTCCAAATAGTCCATGTGGGAATAGAACATAGTGCCTTTCAGCACCATGACCCTGAGTTCCAGTTCCAGGATTATTACTATAATCTTCCCCTCAGGTCATACTTTTTGCCCTTGGAGGTGGCGCTCCTGATAGCAGCCATTGCCATTCTCAAAAGTGCTGCAGGTCCTTGAAGAGACTCAGTGTGACTGACAGTCCTTCTCACACACTGTGGTTCTTGTGGTCTCTCCTACCACAAGACACTTTCTGACATTTTGAGGCAGTTTGCTCAGATGCCCATTAGGCTCTAGCCTTGGTCTGAAAGACCATGCATATAGCCTTCCTGGGGCCACCCCCAGGGTTCAGCGAGGACTCTCCCATTCCCCAGAGGTACCTGCGGGGCAGGCCCTACCTGAGGACAGGAGGCTCCCGCTGCTGCCGCTGATGATCTTCCCTTTGCTCCCCATGTTGGCCAGCTTCGAGGTCTTCAGTGTCCCAGTCTCGGTCAGGTCAATGGCGATCTCACTCAGACTTCGTGCTGCGTGGATTTTGGACTGGAATAGAAAGGCCAGCAGGTTATAGAGGGAATATTCACCTTGGAGCAGGAGTGACCATTCACTTGCTTCTCCTCCTAAAATTCAGCAAACTGGATCATCTCCCTGACTTGAAGCATTTCTAGGTTTGGGTCTCTTGGCCTAACCATTAATCACCCAAACTCAGAAGGAGCAGAGGTGGCTCAGGAGCTGCACGAAGGATGGGTTTTCTTTTTTATTATTATTATTTTTTTATTTTTTATTTTTATTTTTTGAGAGGTTTTTCGCTATAGGGTGCATGCGCTTGCCAGACAGACAGAGAGAGACATAGAGACAGAAAGCGAGAAATCACCCCCCCAGGGGGGATGGTCATGCCACAATCCCTTCTCCTCCATTCTCCTCTCGGAGATGCCGCAATCCCTTCTCCTCCATTCTCCTCTGGGCAGGCACGCACATGCGCCCGGCATGAGTTCCAAGCCACTGGATCCGGGACGCAAACCGCGGTCGACTATGTGGGAGTCCAGCGGCATAGCCATTATGCTAACTGCTGGTTCCCAGTTTTCTAAACCTCTGATACTCCCGGGAGTGCTTAAGAGAATGGAGTTTGGAGTCCTGACTCTGGAAAAGTTACTTCATTTCACTGAGCTTTGTTATTCCCAACTATAAAACAGGGATGACACCAGGGCTGGCAGGTGGCATTGTTGTCAAGGCACTAGACTCCCACATGGCTGACTGTGACCTGGAGGCTTGTTTTCCCTCTCTCTCTCTCTCTCTGTGTGTCTTTCTCTGGTGAGTGCATGCACCCTATACAAATTTAAAAAAAAATATTCCAAAACAAAACAGGGATGACACCATCTACCACCCAGGGTGTGGCTAGGGTCAAAGATGGGTAAGTTGGATGAAAAACATTCCTTCCTTCCTCTCTCCTACCCTGTCCTCTCCTCTCCTCTCTTTTATTCTGCCTGGCACACATCTCTCAATAAACAGTTGTGATTACAATTACTTAGTGCTAAAGCAAGGAGTGAAAAAAAAATAATTTTCACCTTCTAAATGACATAAGAGATAGGTCAAGCAAATTCATCAAGTTCCAATAAATTCCGAAGTGGTTTAAACATCTTTAATTGTTAGCCATGTAGACATGGGAACTTTGGATGATGAAGAAGTGGCAACACTCTAGACCGGCCATCATGGTATATGTGGATAGAAGCACAGACAAGAATCCCCAAAATAGGCAGGTGGGATTACATCAGATTAAGGAGTTTCTGCACAGCGAAGGACACTGTAATTAGTGTGAATCGATAACCCTTGGAATGGGAGAGAATTTTTGTTAACTGTGCCTCAGATAAGGGACTGATAACCAGAATACACAAGAAATGCAAGCAACTTACCTAGAAGAAAATGATTAACCCAGTTAAAAGGTGGAAAAATGCGCTGAATAAATAACTCTCTAATACAAACAGCCAAAAAGCACATGAAAAAATGCTTGACATCCCTCATTGTAAGGGAGATGCAGATCAAAATCACAATGAGATACCACCTAACCCCAGTCAGAATGGAGAAGATTAAAAAAACAAATAATGATAAGTGCTGGAGGGGATGTGGTGAAAGGGGGACACTCCTACACTGTGGGAATGTAAATTGGCCCTGCCACTGTGGATAATGATATGGAGGTTCCTCAAAGACTTTCAAATAGAACTACCATATGATCCAGCAATTCCACTCCTGGGTATCTACCCAAAGGACAGGAGAGCACTCAGTTGGAAAAGTACTTGCACAACTATTTTCATTGCAGCCTTATTCACGATTGCTAAGACATGGAACCAACCCAAATGTCCACAAACAGATGAATGGATTGAAAATTTATGGCACATACACTTCATGGAATACTATTCAGTCATAAAAAACAACACCCTGGAATTTGATAGAAAGTGGATCAATATGGGAGATTTGCTGTTGATTGAAGCAAATCAGGCTATGAAAGAGAGACACTGTATGTCTCCACTTAATATATACCAATTGTCCGCACTCTATGGTAGAGACTGAAAGACTGGAGAACATGAATGAACACATTAAAAATTGTAATGGACACTAGAGACAAACTGGAAAGAGAGTGTGGGAGGGGACGAGCGTAGGAAAGAAAATTTGGGGGAAAAATGGAGAGATAAGACACTTGTGGGACACAGATAAGGTTTTTTATCTACTGACAAGGATGCTAAAATAGTCTCAACTGGGCTGGAGTGAGGTGTATATCATGCTGGGTAAAGTCTCTTCACAATCTAAAAAACAAACAAAGCAAAACAAACAAACAAACAAACAAAATTCCTGATAAATGTTTTAATTAAAAAAAAAAAGTCTCCATAAAAACTGCTCATCCAAACATGTAGGTCCCACCAAAAAATGTTTGACATGGCATTTTGCTTCTATTTTGATACCTAAATGTACATGCCCAAGTCTTTATATTATGATTGAAAGTCCACTCCACATATTAATTGGCCTGATTTTGCTAATGGTCACAGCAGGATAGAATAATTAGAAAGCAGATCTATTTTCATAGATGTGTTTACATTTTCTACACTTGAGTCCAATGTTTGCTTTTTCCTTCTTCAGGAAATCATTCTTTTTCTGTAAATTTTGAGAGTGCATAAGGCAATAGGTTTTGCCTATGTCATGAACTTAATGAAAACAACTATAAATGATCCTGTAACGTGCCCACGCATTTGCTCATTTGTCTACTGGCACATGCACGGGTGGAGGCACATGAGGTGAGGTGCACATCCAAGATTTCCAGTCACTTACTGGCTGTTCAAGTCCAGCACATGTGACACAAGGGCTTTGCTACACACAGAAGAAAGCAGGCCTTGGGCAGGTTACGTAGGCCAGGCAGCGTGCGTGTAGCCCTGCCCTGCTCCCTCTGGTTTATAGTCTTCCTTCTGTGCCCAGGTACCAGCCCAGGGGCCCTCATTTGTCCAGCACTGGCTGTCTGAACTGTGGCTTTGCCCTTCCCCTGACCTCAATGTTGTTGTCGACACTGGGAATGACAACTTCCGACCTCTATGGACTTGCCTCATGTTAACAAGATGCATGTCTGCATGTCAGAGGAAATGCTAAGACTTTTTGCTTGTTTTGT